ATCTATATAGATTCACTCAGATTATCTGATCCCATCTGAAGAAAGAAGACAGAAGACTCTAATCCGGATCTTGCCGGGGTGAATTACAAAGAGATTTTTAAATATAATTCTTTATTTTGCCAGACCTACAAAAAATAGAGAATCTCACTGATAGGCTATGTCTTAGCACATTTTGACAAAGCAGGAGGGACAAATCTTTTTTTTTTTTTTTTTAATGAGAAAGTTTTTGGTTTTTTTTTTTTTTAAATGTTTTATTTATTTTTGAGAGAGAGACACAGCATGAGCAGGGGAGGTCAGAGAAAGAGGGAGACATAGAATTGGAAGTAGACTCCAGGCTCTGAGCTGGCTGTCAGCACAGAGCCCGACATGGGGCTCGAACCCACGAACTGTGAGATCATGCCCTGAGCCAAAGTCAGACGCTTAACCGACGGAGCTACCCAGGAGCCCTGGGACAAATCTTAAATAAGAAAAAGTTCCAAACAGTTTAGGTAAATATTACCTTATCCCTGGAGGTGCAATAGAGGGAAGAAGGGTTATGTAATAATACAGATGTCAATTTATTTGCTTTGTTCAAAGTGTCAATTTGTTAAAAGATTCCTCACTGATAAAATAGCAAGTAGTGGGATGCACTTACTTTCAAATCAAATAATTCAGTAACTGTAGATATGTGAGGACTTGTGAGATATTACAGTTAAGGGGTTAACGACAAATACCCAAGACAGATTAATAATCACCCATACTTTTGTAGGTTGTCTATCTAGGAATTACTTATAACGACAGGTGAAATTTTGAAATCTCTCTCTCTAAGCTAAGAAGCTAGGAACCTCAAAAAAATACTCTGGTAAGTGAATGTAAAAGTAGCCCAAATTGGGTAAGAATGGGTAAATCTGGGGAAATGAGGGAAAAAAAAAAAAGATATACCATAGGATCCAAAACATAAGTAGGCTAAATGTGCTGTGGTAAAAGAATGGATCATCCCATTAAAGGATACTGAAGTACAAGTGGGATGACTCAAATGATCTCTAGCAACACAACACTCAGAGATGCAACCTGATGTCGTCCAGCTCAAGGATTTTAGACTGTGGTTCTCTATCCATATTTGACTATTAACGTGGGGAGCTTTTTCAAAAAGCACCAACATTTCTGGCTCTATTAAAATTCTTAAATGTCCAGGGAGAGATGGCAATAATGTGGCAAAGAACATGAATATACTTCCTCACTGAAGTGATTCAGATACAATCTACCTCCATATATATTTGCCCTTAAACATCAAATAGCCACTTTGTAGGTACTTTGAATTAAACCAAATTTTGACCTACAGACTGAGTTTATTTTATATTGCAACAGCCACAAGTTAATGATTTCCTTGGGGCTCAAGCACTAAAGGATCTAATATAGAAACCCTAAAAAAACTGTATGTGGTGATTTATCTCTACAAGGTATCTGAACATACTGCACTTGATATAACAGCAGAAAAAGCAGCTAGAGCATTACGCCAATATTACATTTCTATAATATTCTAAGCTTGAATTGTTGGCCTCATCTATGTAGGCTGTTTTGGGTTATTAATCATTTTGTAAAATCATGAAATATTTCAAGCATGTGGAAAAATAAAAAGAACGAGTGGACAGCTGTGTAACTATCTGGCTTTTTCAAGCCTTTGCATTATTCCTGTTCACTTGGCATCTAATCCCTAAAAATAAAATGTGCAGATGCTGAAAATGAAGAAAACAAGGGGAAAAAAAAAATCCCCTTAAAACTATGTTTTCATGTCTAAAAATCACTGTAACTTTTAGACACAAATTTATAAAATAGTTATATATGATTATTTACTAGCTTTCTGACCGTTTTGGAGTTTTTAAGGTTTGGTTTTCTTGCCAATATATGTAAACCAAGTGCTCTATTAAGAACAGAGTATAGTAACACTATTAAGTACAATAACTTATTTTTAACATTTAAAATTTATACTTAACATTATTAATTTTTCTGTTTTATAATACTTCTAATAACTGTCTTTACTTCTCTAGTCATATCAGAATACAATAATGTCTTCTTAGATTTTTCTTTCTTTAGGTCATCTGTCTTTGCTATAAAAATCTCAATATTCTTTAGTTGTCAGATTTTTCATGTTTTAGAACAATGGGCAAACAACAATGATGAAATCAGAAATCTAGCCATACTTATATGTTAAACATAGATGGATGTCTATAAAGTACCACAAAAACAGATTCCATACCAAATAATTTCATGTGTGAACTGCTAAGCTAGGCTGTACATCTGACTGGTATCTCATCTTTTCAAGAGCAAATAAATCAACTATGAATAATAAGAGACAGGAGAAATACTAATAAATGACAACCCAAAATCATCCTATCCTGCTACTTCAGTCAATTTCTTCTGCCAATTATATTTTTAAGAGAAACTCTCCTTTAAGAACTGCTGTTTAACTACTAGGAATTTATCCAAAGGATACAGGAGTGCTGATGCATAGGAGCACATGTACCCCAATGTTTATAGCAGCGCTTTCAACAATAGGCAAATTATGGAGCCTAAATGTCCACCAACTGATGAATGAATAAAGAAGACATGGTTTACATATACTGTGGAATACTACTTGGCAATAAAAATGAAATCTTGCCATTTGCAGCAACATGGATGGAATTGGAAGGTATTATTCTGAATGAAGTAAGTCAGTTAAGGAAAAGACAGATGACAGATGTTTTCACTCATGTGGATCTTGAGAAACTTAACAAAAGACTATGGGGAAGGGATGGGTGAAAAATAGTTATAAACAGAGAGGGAGGGAGGCAAACATGAGAGACTCTTAAATACACAGAACAATCTAAGGGTTGATAGGAGGGGTGGGGGAGACAGTAAAATGGGTGATGGGCATTGAGGAGGGCACTTGTTGGGATGAGCACTGGGTGTTGTATGTAAGTGATGAACCAATGGAATCTACCCCAAAAACCAAGAGCATACACTAAACACTGTATGTTAGCCAATTTGACAATAAATTATATTTAAATAAATACATAAACTTAAAAAAAATAAAGAACTGCTGTTTAGGCAGAAAAGAAAAATAGTATTAAATCATTCATTCAATAAACACTTATCAAGCACTTAGTAAAAAAAGCTGGGCCTAGACACTGTGTTAGGTGATCAGGTTAAGATGCCATCTCTGACTTAAAGTGATTCAGGGACTAGTTAAAAGTCACTGCTAGGTTTATGACTCTATCCACCATCCAATGAACAAATACTTTTTTTGAGCCCACTACATGCCAATCACTGTAATAAACATGAAGCATAGTCATTACTCTCATCAAGCTTCCATTATGGTGAGGGGAGATAAACAAGCAAATAAAAACATATGTCAGGTAGTAAAAAAAACAAAAAAACAAAAGAACAAAAAAACAAAACCCAAAACTAAAAAGAAAACTAAGAGTAAAAGGACAGTAATTCTTCATAGGGTAATGACATTTATATCCATGTTGAAGATACATCTGATGAGCAAACCTTTTATTTATGCTCTCAATTAACTGATATCTTGTAAGGCACCAGTTTCCTGCCACCAAATTAAACAGAATTTTCCTTAGTCTCCATTTTCCTTCTATTCTTCCAAGCATCTGACACTGCTGACCACCTGCAGTTTGAAACTCTGTTGGCTTACATGACAAATCTCCTATTTAGATTTTAACCTTTGCCTTTGGGATGGCATCAATATGAGCTGTACAATCACAACCAAGATTTATTTAAGATCTTCTGCTATTGAAACAAGGCAAATTAGGGCGCCAGGGTGGCTTAGTCGGTTAAGCATCCGACTTTCGCTTAGGTCATGATCTCGCGGTTCGTGGGTTCGAGCCCCGCGTCAGGCTCTGTGCTGACTGCCAGTTCAGAGCCTGTGACTCCCTCTCTCTCTGACCCTCCCCTGCTCACGCTGTCTCTCTCTCTCCTAGAAATAAAAAAATATAAAAATAAAAAATAAATAAAAAAAAGAAACAAGGCAAATAGATTTTAAATGATGTGAAAGTGGAAAGTACCCTGAGAAAAGATTTAACTTTATTCTTAATTTCCAATAGGTTTAGGAAGACTGTATAACAATATGACATTTACTCAAAGCACTGGAGAGTAACAACATCTTGTACACACTGAGTAACATACAGAATTGTGAAATCACTATATTACATACCTGAAACTAACATAACACTATGTCCTAATTATACTGGGGGAAAAATCCACTTGTACAACATGTTACATGTTATGAGACCCTTTCAAATTTTATTTACTTCATTTAATCCTCTAAAGTAATAATACACCATGAGGCAGGTAGTATTTCCATATTAAAACATTTTAAATTTTGCTATTGTATAATGAGCACATGTGAGGAGGATTAAAGAGAAAATGGTTTTAAATCTTAATAGGTAAGACAAAGCCTCTAAACTTATTCCAATCCAAAATTATATTTCACACTATATTAAGATATAGCTAGAAGGTTCTGATCTATGATTGCTTAAGTAATCTATTTAATCCATTAAAAACAAGATTCTAACTTTTCAGAATGACATCATTAAAATTAAATCTGTACTTATCCTTTACTTTTACTTTACTATTTGGAAAAATGCTTAGAGTATAATGAAAAACATAAACATCTGTAATGCTGATATTCTAAAACATCTGTTAACATTTTGGTATATTTAACATTTCTTTCAGCCCATCCCTGTTAATTTTAATAGTTTAATTGCTTCATACTACCAAGAATACTGATATTCCTTAAAAAAGAAGTTTACTTTTTATTTAAAAAACAAAAAAGTTAACAGGAATAGGGGACCAAACCGATCTATATTTACTGTGAAATCAAATAAAAAAAATTATATGTTTTAATTTCAGAATCACAAGTGAAAAAATCAACATGACATGCTTATTCAATAAATATTTACTGTAACTACCACGTGCAAAATGACAGGAACAAAGGATTATGTATTTAAAGAAGACTGAATTCTCACCTGTTCAATCTCTTTGGTTTTTGATGCTATTGCTTTAGAGCGACTGGTTAGCTGACTGTCTTCAAATAACTCTATGCCGTCTGTTGCATTTGACTCAGGTTCTTCTGGCTGGTCAATAAACAGTGGTGCTGTGGACCCTGCCTTTGAAAAAAATTAGAAACCTTTAATTACATACAATATTTCATATGACTATTTATAGGCTCCAACTGGTACATTATATCAAGAGAAAGTGCTACATTTAACCTGTCTTAAGAAGACACTTTCAATTTCACTATGCATAGAGAGCATATGTGAGGAGGACCAAAGAGGAAATGACTGCTACTTTTTAAATTTTAGAGAAGACAGGGGCGCCTGGGTGGCTCAATTGGTTAAGCATCCGACTTCGTCTCAGGTCATGATCTCTTTTCTTTTTTTTTTTTTTTTAAATGTTTTTTAAATTTATTTCTAGGAGGGAGGGGGAGAGAGAGGGAGAGAGAGAGAGAGACAGCGTGAGCAGGGGAGGATCAGAGAGAGAGGGAGTCACAGACTGAAACAGGCTCCAGGCTGGCAGTCAGCACAGAGCCCGACGTGGGGCTCGAACCCACGAACCACGAGATCATGACCTAAGCGAAAGCTGGACACTTAACCGACTAAGCCACCCAGGCGCCCCTGAGGTCATGATCTCATGGTTTGTGGGTTCAAGCCCCGCGTCAGGCTGTGTGCTGGCAGCTAGCTCAGAGCCTGGAGCCTATTTCGGAGTCTGTGTCTCCCTCTCTCTCTCTGACCCTCCTCCGCTCACACTGTCTCTCTCTCACTCTAATAAATAAAACATTTATAAATAAATAAATAAATAAATTTTACAGAAGACAAAGCTTCTAGGCTTATTCCATTCCAAAATAATATTTCATACTATATTAAGATACAGCTAGATTTCGTCCTGTAACTTACCCCTTAAGCAATTTATTTAAGAAACACTGAAGAGAAAAAGTCTAACAGGAAGTGAGAGGTATGTGCACACATAAACATATTAAAATAGAACATGGAAAAGGGTTCTACTTTCAGAATTTAAAAATACCTTGCTCTTGTAGCAAAAAAAAAAAAAAAATGGAAATAACTGAAAAGAAAACCCCCTAAAGCAATAATAATCACTACTTTATAACAACAATTCATTAAATACATAATCCTACAACAAGTCCACAGCTGACTATTGCACTTTCCAAAAACACTTTGATGACAAAGAAAAAAAACTAAAAAAGGGGGGGAAACCGTTATTTTACATTCATTTGTTTATTCAAATATTTACTGTGACATTTATAGCAGCATTATCTACAATAGCCAAATTACAAATGTCAACTGAGAGATGAATGGGTAAAGAGATGGTGTAGATATACCATGAAATATTACTGGGTCATAATAAAGAATGAAATCTTGCCATTTGCAACTACATGGATAGAGCCAGAGAGTATTATCCTAAGTGAAATAAGTCAAAGAAAGATAAACAAACACCATGTGATTTCACTCACATGTGGAATCTGAAAAACAACAATGTGCAAAGGGGGAAAAGAAAAAAAGAGAGAGACACCAAGAAACAGACTCTGAACTACTAGAGGAGGAAGGTGGGGGCGGATGGGTTAAAAGGGTGATGGGGATTAAGGAGAGCACTTGTGACGAACACCAGGTGTTATATGAAAGTCCTGAATCATTATATTGTATACCTGAAACCAATACTACACTGTACATTAACTAAATGAAGTTAAAAAAAAAAAAAAAACTTCAAAAAAATTTTAACTGTGTGACAGAGAGGGGAATACAGCAGCACAGTAGGAAGACCCTAGGCTCGTCTCAACCGACAAATTCAACTAGATAATTATCATCCTAAATATTCCGGAAATCGACCTTAAGACTGATAGAACAAACTCCACAATTAAAGGTAGAGGAGAGGTCATAATGCAGGAAGTAGGAAGTACAGAGACATGGCTTGGGAGAGAAAAAAAAAAAAAAGGATGGTGGCTACTGTGATAGTGAGGAAGCTATGGTTGCAGAGAAGGGTGAGAGCCAGATTAACACACAGGAGAGTGCTTGGGAGAAATGAATCCCTATAGCAACCGGCTTGGAAAACGAAAGGGGATGAATTTTTCAGTCCTTGTAACCAGCTGGGCCTAAAGCCTGGAGTTCTAAAGGTCAGCGAGGTTGACCCTGGGGAAAGGTGGGAGGCATTGGGACTGCTTTTAGATAAAAGGCAGGGGAAACAATCCTCAGACATACAGAGGGTAAACAGTGATCTGAAGAGCACCTGGGAAACACAGTGGGGAGGTTATTCCTTCATCTTGGAGTATGTCCCAGAGAGGCAGCATTCATGAAGAGAACACTCCACGAACAAAGGGACAGGCAGCCACCTTTTCCTTCCCTGGTCCCTCAGTATAAGCATAGACCCGCCCACAGGAACCAGTTGGCAATGCCAACACCGCCTACTTAACTTGCTTACACCAAGGCACCCCACTGTGCTCTGGCAGAACTGCCTTTCCTAGTCACACTTACCTCAGTTCCAGCATAGCAGGCACCCTTGCCACAAGACCAGCCCAAACCCCTGCCCATATCCTGTCTCCTGATCCAGGAGTTTTGCAGAGCCTTAGTTCCAGGCCAGTGGCAACAGGTCTCATTTCACAAGCAGACCAGAACACATCTAGTTAAAACACACTACATTCATGCCAGGGACTAAACACTACCCACAACAGGCAAAGAGAGTCTCTGCAGATGACTGTCCCAAAGGATAAGAAGGCCCGGAAAAAGCAGCAGAGCACATGAAGCTAACACTGGAGACAACACCGGCAGAGCCAGGCCCTGAGAACAGTGGACACTACACACCAGGGCACTACAGGACCTCTTCTTCACAAGGGCATTACCCTCAAGAACAGGAAACATAAGTAGCCGAATTTCCTAACAGAGAGAAACAGGCACAGAAATTTAGACAAAATAAGAAGACAGAGGAATTTGTCCCAAATAAAACAAGAGGACAAGGCCATAGCCAGAGATCTAAGCAAAAGAGAAGCAACATGTCTGATGGGCTATTTAAAGCAATATCTTAAGGTTACTCACAGGACTTGAGAAAAGGATGGAAGACATGGTGAGACCTTTAACACAGAGATAAAAGAGAAACAATCAGAGATGAAAGGTGCAATAAGTAAGACAAGACACATGCTTGATACAATGAGTGGCAGACTGGAAGAATCAGAGGAATGAATTAATGAGCAAGCCGACAGAATAATGGAATGTTAGCAAGATGAACAAAAGAAAGAAGAATTACAGAAAACAAGAATAGGCTTAGGGAACTCAGTGACTCCATCAAAGGTAAAAACATTCACATTACAGGAGTTCCAAAGAAGAAGAGAGAAAAAGAGGGCAGAAATTTTATTTGAAGAGATAATAGTTATAAACTTTCCTAATCTGAAAAAGAAAACAGATATTTAGATCCAGGAGAAGCAAACAACCCTCAACAAAATCAACAGAAGTAGATCCACAACCAAGACGTGTTATAATAAAAATGGTAAAATATACCAAAAAGAAAAATTTTTAAAAGAAGTAAGATGAAGAAGACAGTGACCTACAAGGGAACTTCCATAAGGCTATCAGGGATTTTTCAGCAGAAACTTTCTAAAGGGAGTGGTACAATAGGTACAAAGTGCTGAATGGTTAAAATCTAGAGCCAAGAATACTTTATCCAGATAGACTATCATTCAGAATAGGAGGAGAAAAAGAGTTTCCTGGACAAAAAGTGAAAAAGTTCATGACCAGTAAATCAGCCCTGCATGAAGTATTAAAGGGCCTCTGAGTGGAAAGGAAAACCAAAAGTGAAACTCTGAAGGAATGAAACACAGAAACAGTAAAAATGACTATTTTTGTAAATATCACTTAAGGAACTCATAAAATAAAAGGATGTAAAATATGACTACACCTAAAATGTAAGGAGTAAAGAATGTGTTCAAACTTAATAACTGACTGAATACAGACTGCTATATGCAAAAGATGTTGTATACAAACATAATGATAATCACAAAAAATACTAATATATATGCAAAGAATAGAGGAAAAAATGCAAATGTATCACTAAAGAAAGCAAGCAAACCATGAGAAAGACAGACAGGATCAGAGAAAATCTCCAGAGACAGCTACAAAAGAGGTAATAAAATGGCAATACATGTAAATCAATAATTACTTTGAATATAAATGGAATGTAAATTGAAAGACAGAGTGAAAGAATGGCTAAGAAAACAAGACTCATCTATACACTGCTTACAAGAGACTCATTTTAGACCTAAATACACCTGCATACTGAAAGTGATGGGATGGAGAAACATTTATCATGCAAACAGATGTCAAAAAGAAAGCCAGAATAGCAATATTTATATCTGACCAAATAGACTATATTTTTATCTTCATTTTTTTTTTTAGGTTTATTTATTTATTTTGAGGCAGACAGAGACATCATGAGTAGGGGAGCAGCAGAGAAAGAGGAAGAAGGAGAGAATCCCATGCAGGCTCTGAGCTGGCAGCACAGAGCCTGATGCAGGCAGGACCTGAGCCAAAACCAAGAGTGAGACACTGAACCAACTGAGCCACCCAGGCACCCCTATTTATTTTTACTTGAGAGAGAGAGAGAGAGAGAGAGAGAGAGAGAACACAAGTGGGAGAGAGGGACAGAGGAAGAGGAAGAATTCTAGCTCACCCCACACTCAGCATGAAGTCCAATGTAGGGCTCAATCCCACAACCCTTAGGATCATGAACTAAGCCAAAATCAAGGGTCGAATGTTCTACCGACTGAGCTACCCACCCAAGGACCCCAAACCAAACAGACTTTAAAACCAAGACTATAAGAAGAGATGAAGATATATGCTATATACTATATAATCCAACAAGAAGATGTAACTATTGCAAATATTTATGTTTCCAACATGAAAGCACCAAAATACATAAAACAGTTAATAGCAAACATAAAGGAATGAATAGATAATAATACGATAATAGTCAGGGATTTTATTTTATTTTATTTTTTATTTTTTTTTAATATTTTTATTTATTTCTAGGATAGAGAGAGACAGCGTGAACAGGGGAGGGTCAGAGAGAGAGAGGGAGATACAGACTCTGAAACAGGCTCCAGGCTCTG